TCAGCCAATGAGAAGCTGGTTGCCACCCTGAAATGTTACTTTCCCCCAATGGACTTTCCTTTAGAACAGCCCCTCCCTCTCCCCCTTTTTCCCAATAAAGGCAGCTCCCGTCCTTCTTCTCTGGATTTGCCTATGGTTCTCCATAGCATGCACACCCTGAATTGTAATTCTCTTGGCTATTCCTGAATAAACTCATTATGAAATAAAATAACAGGCAAATTCGCCTTTTAAGTTGACATGTCAAGTACCTGGCAATCTGGTCTTGGATCTCAGGTTGGCCTCCCACCCCGAGTTCGCTCCCCAGTGGGGAAGCCTTACGTCGGCAGCATCGCCGCAGCACGTGCCGCCTGTGTGCCATGCATGCCTCTGCGCCTGCGCAGACTCCCCGCTGAACTACATTTCCCAGATCCCCGCGGGATATAGGCTCCTCAGGGCCACCGTCCTCTGATGGCAATGGCAGAAGGAAGCCAGGGGTCCAGGGCGGCCTCCACCTGGGCCTACGATCTCAGAGCTCCTTCTGGCTTCCGGAGGCGGAGTGGAGAAGGCGGCCACAGAGTTCCTTTCCTCTCGACCATCACAGGCTGTGTTCTGAAAGCTGACCGTCACCAGCATCCGTCTCCAGGGCAACGGACAACTCCGGAAACGACGAGTTTGTCTCCATGGCAACTGTCTGAGCGCTGGCGCTAGGCGAGGGCCCTGCTTAAAGGAGCTTTTAAGTAATAGGGATGCCCAACAAAACAGCGTGCTCAGCTCATGAAACTTAATGGAAAACTATGTTAGAGCACGAGGAAGGGAGGAAAACTGGGTAGGGCGGGACTGAAAGAGTTGATGTGAGGAAGGTTTCTCAGAGTAGGGGGCATTTTGAATAAGGCTTTGAGGGGTGAGTAAGAGGTCTCAAGGAAGAGAAGAGGGAAAAAATAATGTCTTCTCTATCTGGCCAAAATTTCAAGTTGTATGACATAGAGTCTTAACGAGGGGATGGGGAAACTACCATTCTCCAACCATGCAGGTGGGGATGGGGGTGGCTTCAGCCTTGAAGTAAATCAGTAAGTCATTCTGTGACCATTTTCTGAGAACCTGCTGTTCCAGGCAGTGCTCTACGCCCTGGGGATGTGACGGTGAAAGACACACAGGGACCCTATTAGGGAGCCAGAGAGCAGGCAGTAACTAGCAGACATATAATAGGAAATTCTAAGTGCTATGCAGTAAACAGGGGCTGAGAGAGGAATGAAAGGGTGGCTGTGTGATCAGGAAATCTAATTATTTGAGAACATAAGTGTGAAATAAAAACCATATAAATTTCGAGCAAATTGTAAAGAAATATTAAGACATAGTGGCCAGAGCTTGCCCCACCTGTAGATTTCTCCTTCCTAGTGTCTGTGACGATCTGAGCTGGGGTTTTCTTTTCCTTGCTGCTGACAGCATCCTCGAGTTCCAGGATGAAGAGGATGACTGCCTTGCTTTTGCTCCTTTTGGCTGCTCGAGCTGGTAAACTTCTTGTCTGAGCTATTTTGAGTTGTTTTCTTTCACTTGAAACCCAAAACGTCCTTGATAATACGGTCTGATCATTCTCCTTTAAAGGATAAGGAGACTGGATCAGACAGCAAGACAATGGCAAAGGGAAGATTCAAAATTAGGTTCTTTTAGACTAAAAATCCGATCATTCTACATTAGTTCGTTAGTAAAGGTGGGGGTGAGTCTTCGAGAAGGGCATGCACCGAATGTGCTGCAAAAGGCACGTGCATGGTGGAATATATTAGGATGAGAGACTGGAGGATGCTACGCTGCTGGCTTTGAAGATGGAGGAAGGGGCCACAAGCCAAGGAATACAGGTGGCCTCTAGAAACTGAAAATTCATACCATAAACCATAAAAAAGCAGGTGGAATAAAAATTTAATTGTTAAAAAGATCACAAAAGTGCTAGAATAAAATATAGGAGAACTTTTTTCATAATCTTGGGCATGAGAGAGGCCTTTTTGCATGATGGTAGATCCAAGAACTATAAAAGACAATACAAATAGATTTGAATACCTGAAAATTAAAAAATTCTGTATAGCAAAACGCCACCAGAAACAAAATTGAAAGAGAAATAATAAACTGGGAGAAAATATTAGCACCATATATACCAAAGGGTTAATAGGAGTAATATATAAAGATTTGCTCCTATGAGTCAATATAAAGAGACAGCCCAATTAAAAATGGGCAAAATACATAAATAAGCAATTCAAAGAAGACAGAACGTCAGTAAACACATAAGATCATTAATCTCACTGTCGATAAGACATTTTTACTTATGACTAGAAATGTTTTTAAAAAGACTAATATTGAGTATTTGTGAAGGAAGTGGACGAACAGAGCAACAGTCAGTCGTCTACATGTCTAAGCGTCGGGTAAATTGGTTCCTCCTTTTCTGGAGGATTACTTAGCAATAACCATCAAAATTTTAAACATGGACATTCTGTGATCCCACAAGTTTACTTCCAGGAATTCATCTCATGGAGATATTTTGCACAAGGGTCAAATCATAGATGTCCAGTGATGGGAAAGGAAGTGAAAACAACCTAAATATCCATTCAGAGAGACCCGTTAGAGAAATTCAAGAAACCCTAGCATGAAATATTATGCAGCTGTTAAAAATGACGATACATACATATGTACAATATATACACTTTTTGCATTGTCATGGGAAAATATCCACATTATACCAAGTGAAAAAAGTCACTTCTAAAATCGTATGTGAGTTTATCCCCTACAAATTGTATACCATATTTATGTGAAAATATACATACATATACAACCAGTTTCATTCATAAAAACGTAAAGGGAGGTTCATATTCACAGAAAAAAGTCTAGAATCTTTAGAATGAAGATTTATAGAGAGCCATGGCTTTCTTCATTTTTGTATAGTCTGAATTATTCACAATAAATGAGTATTTCTTCAACCATGAAAGAAGTTGCAGAAGATTAGAAAAAATACCTGGCAAAGACTTTTAAACATGGTCATAGGGACCACGGATGATGTCGGCGAGATGCAGCCCCATCCACTGCCAGTCGGACCGCCAACTGACACCGAACTTCTGGGAAGCCACCGGCCATGGGCACAGGGTCACTGAACAATTCTCCCTTTGACCCCACGACCTCCCTACCAGGATTTCACATGGGGATGCTCAGTGGCTCAGCCTAAGACGTCAGTAGAAGGGATGCTCATAAAAGTCAAAACCTAGAAGCAACCAAAATGTCCAACAGGGGCCTGGCCAATACATTGTTTGTATAAACACAAACTATGCAAAGCGCCCAAACACCTGGTTGTTAAAGATGATTTAATGGCATAGGTATTTAATAATATGGGTGTAGTGATATGAGCGAATCATGATACTTAATGATGGAGGCCCATGACGTAAAGCTAAGTAGACATAGAAATACGCTTACACAGTATACTCAGTAGGCCCCAGATTTAGTAAAGCATATATAATATTATATATTGAGTTTTAAAAATAGCGGAAGTGGAGTAAAAATGTTCAGTCATCTCTGGGTAGCCCTGGACTTTGGGTGAAATCATCTGGATTTCTGGGGTCGTCTAAATTTTCTATAAGAAGCATGTGTTGGTTTTTATAATAAGATGATAAACATTATTTTAAGAAGGAAAGGTTAGATGTGGAACGTGTTCAATCCCCATCAAAGTTCAGAGCGGGGCTTCTGGGGCCCGATGACAGGGGCTTGAACCCAGGCTCCACGAGCTCACAGCTTTGGGACTTTGGCCACTTCATCTCTCTGTGCCTCAATGTCCTCACCTGTGAAATGGGGCCACACAGCCCAGAACACGTGGGGTTGCTGGAAGAATGGAAGGAGGTCATCCACACCAAGGGCTTAGAACAGAAACTGGCACACGGTTACTGAAAGCACTAGCCATTTTGTATGTTTGGTGGGAAAAAATTATATGATTGATGTTCAGTGGTGGTAAAAATATAGCGGGACAGTGGTCCTTAGGCCCAGCTTGTGCCAGGTGGATTAGGTTCGGTCCCTTTGGAAAGCAATCTGACTTGTCTTAGGAATCAGGGAAAGGGCTGGAGTCTTGATTATGTTATTCCCATGCTGGGAATTACACTTAGAGAAATAATTCCCCCAAATAAATAATCCCCCCCCAAAGTAAGCATGGAAATGCTCATTATAACATTATCCATAATTGGGGGAGAAACTGGTGAACAACCCATGATAACCACGGGCTCAGAACAAACCCTAAATGGGGGAGTGGATTTGTAAATTATTCTCCACCCACCAACGAAATCTCATCAGCTCTAATCATGATGAGTATGTAGTGTATGTGGTGACAAAGGACAATGCTGACGGTATAATGAGGGCAAAACGGAGCAGCCAAAATTGTTTCTACGCTCCGATTACAATTAAAAAATTACATTTATTTTGAAATGCTACTTGGAAGGAAATAGGAAAAAAATCAGAACAATATGACTTCTGAGGGTGGCCAAGCTGTAGGTGAGTATATGGTTGTTTTTTTTTTTCCTGAGGAAGATTAGCCCTGAGCTAACGTCTGCTGCCAATCCTCCTCTTTTTGCTGAGGAAGACTGGCCCTGAGCTAACATCCGTGCCCATCTTCCTCCACTTTATACGTGGGACGCCTACCACAGCATGGCTTGATGAGCAGTGCCGTGTCCACACCCGGGATCCAAACCAGCGAACCCAAGGCCGCTGAAGTGGAACGTGCAAACTTAACTGCTGTGCCACCGGGCTGGGCCCTGGGTTTTGTTTTTTGATCCAAATTTTTCAACATTGAAAAATAAAGATATGGAATACAGAGTAAAACAAAACCAGAAAGAAATACACCCAAAAATGACTGGGCTGTGGGATTATGGGGAATTAGCATTTTAGTTCATACTTCTCTACACTTTCCAAATTATCCTTTGCAACGAGCACGTTATTTTACTTAAAAATTTTTTTCCCGTTATAAACACATGCGTATTGTTTTTATAATAAAAAATAAATGATACATTAAAAAATATGAGGTCTTATTATGTGTGCTCCCTTTGGGCACAAATAAAATCAGAAAATGATGCATAATAGGCCAACTGCTTTGTAAAACACAAATTCTGGAAATGGAAAAGACAGGGACAACAGGACATAAAAAATGGCTGTAAATGTGTGAAAAATAGTCAGTGTTTAAGCCAACTGCAGATTTTGCCATGAAATTTGTAGCTTCAAGTCATAAAGGAAACTAAAATCGTCTAGCAGTCGTGTTCAGGGACACATATTTGAGACTGTTTCTCCAAAGGGTTAATCTTCCCAGCTGTGTTTTTTTTTTTTTCTTGAATTTTCAGGCTCCAATTTAATGAATGATCAATACATTTAAAAAGCTCAGAGAGGCCTTATTAAAGATCTCAGATGAAGTTGCATTGCATTTAGATCACCCCTAAGTACCACTATCTGGGGACATTGTCGGGATGAGAAATGGGGAGGAAGCTCCTAAAATGAGCAGAAGCTGTCCCAGCTGGTGAGACATCACGCCGGCCTCCTTCGGAGAGATAAAGAAACCAACTTTCTTAATACACGAGGTTAGGGTTCCTCTCTGGGAGGAAGTTACTAGTGCCAATGAAGCCAGACCTGAACCCAGCAGTGGCACGGGCAGTCTGTTATGGTCCCAGGCCTTCTAGTCAGCGTGAATTCTCTGATGATCAGCAAGCTCTGAGCTCCAGGCAGAGGGTTGCTCAGAATCATTGCAGATGCAGGCGTTGTACACGGTGTGAAGTCTCTGATGTTTAGCCAGGTGTGAACCCCAGTGGAAATCCTCCCCAACAAGCATTTGCCAGCCGTGTGGACTTTCTGGTGTTGAATAAGGTGTGAAATCTGGGTACAGGTTTTCCCACAGTTGTTGCATTTTTAGGGCTTCTCCCCGGTGTGAACCCTCTGATGCTGAACAAGGTGGAGACTCTGGTTGAAGGCTTTGCCACCCTCCTCAAAGGCGTACGGCTTCTCGCCGGTGTGAATTCTCTGATGCTGAGTGAGGGACGAGCTGAGATGGACCGTCTTCCCACACTCTTTACACTTATAGGGTTTCTCGCCTGTGTGGACTTTCTGGTGCTCGATGAGGTGGGTGCTCCGGCTGAAGGCTTTCCCACACTCGCTGCATCTGTACGGCTTCTCTCCAGTGTGAATCCTCTGGTGTCGAATGAGGTGGGAAATCTGGATGTAGGCCTTCCCGCAAACTTGACACTTATAGGGCTTCTTGCCGGTGTGAATCCTCTGGTGGCGCATAAGCGACGAGTTCTGGCTGAAGGTTTTCCCACACTCATTGCATTTGTAGGGCTTCTCGCTGGTGTGAATCGTCTGGTGTTGCATAAATGATGACGTATGACCGAAGGCCTTTCTGCACTCATTACATACATAGGGCTTTTCACCCATGTGAATGCTCTGGTGCCTCATGAGGTGGGAAATCTGCGTGTAAGCCTTCCCACATGTGTTACATACATAGAGCTTCTCACCCGTGTGAATCCTCTGATGCTGCGTGAGGGCTGAGCTCTGGCTGAAGGTCTTCCCACACTTGTTACATTTGTAGGGTTTCTCCCCGGTGTGGGTGGTCTGGTGCCGAGTGAGGGAGGAAGTGTGGCAGAAAGCTTTCCCACACTCGCCACATCAATAGGGTTTCTCACCCGTGTGGATTTTCCGGTGGCGGGTGAGGTGGGACACCTGCGAGTAGAACTTCCCACACTGGTGGCACCTGTAGGGCTTCTCCCCCATGTGGCATCGCTGGTGTTTGATGAGGGAGGAGCTCTGGGTGAAGGCCTTCCCGCATTCCTTGCATCGGTACGGTTTCTTTCCCATGTGGATCCTCTGATGCTCGGTGAGTGACGAGCTCTGAGTAAAGGTCTTGCCGCACTCCCTGCACGCGTAGGGCTTCTCCCCCGTGTGGATGATGTGGTGCTGGATGAAGTACGAGCTCTTGCTGAACGCCTTCCCGCCGTCGTCGCACTTGTAGGGTTTCTCCCCAGTGTGAGTCCTCTGGTGTAGGATATAGTCTGAGTGGTAACTGAAGGCCTTCCCACATTCCGTGCAGTTAAATGGCTTCTTTCCTACGAAGGTCCTTTGGCGTTTCAGGCTCTTCCGTGGCCCGTTCCAATTCTGCGGCCTCTCTCCCCCAGGCGCTCTCTGCTTCCTGATGAAGGCTGAGGTCCGCCGGAAGCTTCTCCCAAGTTCGTTCCGGCCGAGGCCTCTCTCCCCGCAGATGTTTTCCTTGGGGGCAGCAAAGGCACCCCTCAGAGGCCTCTCCTGTTTTCCCTGGTCCTCCCGTCGACGGCCACACGTCCGGGATTCCCCCAACTTGGCATCTCCAAGCACAGCCCTTAAAATGCCCTCCATCTTCCCCCCTGGGGAGGCTGCCTCTTCAGAAACGCTCTTTTTCGGAAGCATCTCCTGAGTAGCTGCAGAGCTTGCCTCCAAATCGGAAAGAAATGGAAAATATGAATATCGTCCGTTTCAGGACAAAGGAAGCTGATGTTTTAGAACTGACATTGGGAAACTCAAAAAGAAAAGTTTCAAAGTTTAGGCTGCTATTTCAAAACGCACAAGGTACATAGATTCACGTGGTGACATGAAAAGACGGCTAAGATAGAGTCTAAGAATGAAAAGAACCGAGTTGCAAAACCGTTGATATGCACCGTGGTTTGTTAGCCGTAATATATAATACATTTTGACAAATCAATACGAAAAAGAGAAACAATCTAATAAAATAGTGAAGCCAGGGGCTGGCCCAGCGGTGCACTGGTTGAGTTCGCACGTCCTGCTTTGGGGGCCCAGGGTTCACTGGGGGATAGGAAGTGACGGCTGAGGGGTACAGGGTTTCTTTGGGGAGTAATGAGAATGTTTTGGAATGGATCGTGGTAATGGAGGCACAATTCAGTGAACAGACTGAAAAACACGGAATTGTACACTTTAAACGGTGAATTGTGTGGTAAGTGAATTACATCTCAATAAAACCATTAAATAAATAAGATTAGAGGGAAATTTCCGTTTCTACATTACACATTTGAAATGTTTTATTCATTATAAATATTGAAAACTAACAGTAAGTTTTTCCTAGGTGATTACAGTGAAAAGGAAACACTTCTCCTTCCCTTGTTCCTACACTGTTTCTAATTGTGAATCTCTCTAGAGATTTTCCATAAATTTATGTGTGTGGGAATGTATGTGTGCACATGCGTGGTGTGGTGGTGGGTTTTAAATTTATTATTATTTACTTTTCTTATTTCGGTAAAATACACATAACATAAAATGGACCATTTACACCTTTTTTCTTTTTTCTGAGGAAGATTTGCCCTGAGCTAACATCTGTTGCTGATCTTCCTCTGTTTTGTATGTGTGTTGCCACCACAGTGTAGTCACTGAAAAGTGGTGTAGGTCTGTGCCTGGGAACTGAATCTGGGCCACTGAAGTGGAGCCTAACTTAACCACTAGGCCACCAGGGCTGGCCCCCATTTAAACCGCTTTTTTTAAGTATGCTTTTTTTGGTGAGGAAGATTGGCCCTGAGCTAACATCTGCTGCCAATTTTCCTCTTTTTTTTCCTCCCCAAAGCCCCAGTACATGGTTATATATCCTAGTTGTAGGTCCTTCTAGTTCTTCTGGGTGGGATGTCGCCTCAGCATGGCTTGATGAGCAGTGCCATGTCTGCACCCAGGATCCGAACTGGTGAACCCCGGGCCACTGAAGCAGAGCGTGAGAACTTAACCACTCGGCCACGGGGCCGGCCCCCATTTAAACCATTTTTAAGTGTACAGTCCAGCTGCATGAGTACATTACATTGTCGTGCAACCATCACCACTATTCATCTCTAGAACTTTTTCATCTTCCCAAACTGAAATCCTGTCCTAATTTAAGGCCCCATTCCCCCTCCCCCAAGGCTGTGACAACCACCATTCTACTTTGTCTTAACAAATTTGCCTCCTTTGGGGACCTCGTGTACGTGGAATTGTATAATATTCGTCCTTTGGGGTCTGGCTTATTTCACTTAGCATATGTCTCCATGGTTCATCTATGTTATTATTTACTTTTGTAACTAAAAAAGTACACACAACTAGAAGGACCCTCGACTAAAATATACAACTATGTACTGGGGGAATTTGGGGAGAAAAAGCAGAAAAAAATAAATAAAATATTTAAAAAACGCAGTAAAGATATTGGAGTGAAAATTCTTGAAGGAACTACATTAAGATCTTAAAAGTGAATTTTTTAGAGATAAGCAGGATTATTGGGGGATTTTCACTTCCTGCTTTATTCGTATTGAGATTTTCAAGGTGTCTATGAAGAACACATATAACTTTTATTTGATCAAAAGATATCCACAAATATCTAATGTATATGAAACTTTAATGGCACAATCTTGCAATTTGGAGAAAGGGAGATGTAGACAGGAGATGATGAACGGGAAACAAAACCATTTGGAATTTGCTGAAGGGGACTGACTTTTCGATGCTGGTAGATTTGTTCACGGGATGCCCATTAATCACGTAATTGCTATGTGCCAACCACAGTGCTGGGGGTGGGTGACTGTGCTGAGCCAGACCTCTGACCCTTGCCCTCAGAGAGGGGCTGGGCTGGGCTCCTACTCAGACATTTTGGACATTTCTTCCTTCTCTCCTCAGCATCCCTGCCTTTGCAGAACCATGGCTCCCCTTTCCTGCAGTCCTGGTGGGGCTGTTAACGTCAGTCTCCCCCATCCCCACCTCAGGAGTGGGCACGAGACCCAGGCTGGCCAATCAGAATAGCCCATCCCCCAGGCCAATTATAATTGGTTCAAGATCCAAGCACAGCCAATCAGAGTCTTCCCTGAGATAGGTATATGGTGTTGCTAGGCAGAATAGAAGGTTGAGACTATGGGCAGCCATACCGAGCACCACTTGGAAAGGCCTGAAGATGGACTGAAGCTAGAAACGGGTGGAATCAACATGCGGGGGAGGGAAGGGGAGAGAGACCCAGCGAGCCCATTCACAGCCTGAGATCCATATGCCTGAAGTCGTCCCACTTATACGGGTCCAAAAAAATCTAATTTTGCTTAAGCTATTTTGATTTTTTTACATGCGAGTCCTGATTAATACATCAGGTAATTCAGTAATAGTAACAGAATACTAATAATAATTATTGCAATAAGTAATATTCATTAAATGCTTCCTACGTGCCAGGCACTGTTCTATATATTAACTAATTTAGCCTCCCCTCAAAATTCAACGAGGTGGGTAGTATTAGTGTCCCCACTTGACAGATAAGGAAATAGAGGCACCAAGAGGTTAAGCCACTTACCCACAGTCACACAGCCTGTCAGCGGCAGAGCTGGGGTTTGAACTCAGAGAGTCTGGCTCCAGGGCCCCTACTCTTAATCACAACATAAGCAAGTGCAGTAATGGCAGCTCAAGCAAGGAGCTGTGAGAACACCCAGAAGGGGCAGGTCGCTCAGCCTGGGAGTCAGGGAGGGCCTCCTGGAGGAGATGAGCTGTAACTTTCATCTTGAGGAACATGAAGGTGTTCACCAGGCAGACAAAGCAGGGAAGGGTGTTCCAGGCAGAGGGAACAGAATGTGCAAAGCCCCAAAGGTGGGAATACACATTCAAGTTCAGGTAGGGACAGGTGCTTCCATGAGGTCAGGGCATGGGGTACAACCACAGGCGGATGGTGATGAGAGATGAGGACACACAGGGCCTCGAGTGCCAGGCTTAGGGGCCAGGTGTTCGACTCAGGGGCACTGGGGAGCCATGGGAGGGCTGTGAGCAGGGGAGGGACAGTATCAGCTCTCGGCGAAGGAAGACCCCTCCGGGGCTGTGTGTGAGATGAACTGGAGGGCTTAAGATTGGAGGCTGAGGGGCCAGGGTGGAGATTGGGGTGAGAGTCCAGGTGAGGGAAGCTGAGGCCTGAGCCCAGACTGCAGGGGAGAGAGGAGGGCACTGGGCGAAGTTATGGGCAGGAGGGGTGGGACTGGGGACTGACAGGCTGTGGTGGGTGACGGGGAAGGAGGGCGCAAGGTGTGGCCCCACAACAGGGTGGACAGTGGCAGAAACAAAGATGCTTCCACCCCCTCCTCTGATGCAGCTCGGGGGCGAGTGGGGGCAAAACTCTGGCTTCTTCCTGTCCCCCAACAGGTCAGGCCAGGCACCACTGCTGGGTCTTTACACAGGCGATTCCCATAGAATAATCCTAACAATAACCGTCACAGCCTATTCTGACCCATTCTGTCACTGTGTGCCAGGCGCTGGGCCACACTCTGCATGTGTCAACTCATTTATTCCTCCCAAGGAATACTGTACGATTATTGTCACCATTTTGCAGATGGGAAACTTGAGGGACAGAGGGGCTAAATATTTTGCCTGAAGGTCACAGAGCCAGGAAGTGGTGGAGCTGGGATATGAACACAGAACTCATGATTATGGCCCACGTGTCACCCTGCCCCCCCCTTTATTTTGGTGAGGAAGATTGGCTCTGAGCTAACATCTGTGCCAATCTTCCTCTATCTTGTATGTGGGACGCTGCCACAGCGTGGCTTGATGAGTGGTGTGTAGGTTCGCACCTGGGATCTGAACCCGCAAACCCCGGGCCACCGAAGTGGAGTGTGCGAACCTAACCACTATGCCACTGGGCTGGCCCCTGCCTCATTCTTGACATGTCTGATCATGACAGATGGGGTGGGAGGATGGCTTGCACTCGCTGGACAGCCTCACCCACCTGGACGGGTAACTCGCCGGGCTTCTCTCTCCTCCATCCTGGGCTCCTCCCCTCGCTCCAGACAGAAGATCATATCCGGTTTGGACCCCGGAAGCCCTCCCCGTGGAAAAGACACGAGACTTGGCTGTGGGTGCCATGGTCACAGGGAGGCCTCAGGGCCGGGCCCCAGGCCCCGGATCTGCAGGAGGGATGCATACGTTGGGCACCTAATGTTTAGAGGTTCTAGTGGTCAACACCGGACTCATTTATTGAGCACCTACTGCATACCTGCCATCCCTGTTGAAGGCTCTTACTCTGAGCTGTTCAAGTTGAGTGTGAAATACACACCCCATTTCAAAGACCTAATCTGCAAAAAAGTGTAAAATATCTTCTTCGCTGTAATAATTTGTATACTGGTTATGATTTCGACATGTGCCCAGATGACCGTATTTCGGATCCATCGGGTGAAACAACATACTACTAAAATTAATTTCATCTGCTTCTTTTTACTTTTTTCAGTCTGCTGTCTTCAAGATCACTAATTTCCCTCTTCCTATAGTAGGTTGAACAGCGGCCCCCCCCAAATTACGTCCACAGGAGCCTCAGAATGTGGCCTCATTTGGAAACAGCGGCTTTGCAGATGTAACGAGTTAAGATGAGGCCCTACAGGGGGACGGAGAGACCTAAAGCCAGCGGCTGGTGTCCCCATAAGAGGAGAGACACACACACGTGGAGGGAAACAGGCCACGTGAAGCTGGAGGCGGAGAGTGGGGCAAACGCAGGGACACGAGGGTAGGAAGGGCCGGGAGAGCCAGTGCCCGGGGCTGGCCTGGTGCCCAGGTGGGCGGAGGATGGTCCTGAGATGGGGGACCCGGAGGAGGAGTGGGTCTGGGGGTACATGGAGAGCCCGGTGGGCACAGGGAGTCTGGGGGCCGGGACCTCCCCAGGGAGGGGTCCTGGAGGCCACCAGCTGCACAAAGTCGGAGCTCAGGGGACAGACTGGAGGGACCTCATTCTGTACGTGCAAGTTGTGCAGAAAAAGGGCAACGCGGCAGGCTGGCTGCTGTCCTCGGAGGGGCCTGCCCACAAGGTAGCCCTCGGCTGGCGGCTGCAAACCTGGATTTCGGGAGGGTTCCAGCATTCTCTGACCAGTAAGAGGGCCTCCCTGTGCCCAACCTGTTAAGCTGAGCCTCCGCTTTCTTTGGGGGATCTGCAATTTTGGTACGTGCCAGGCAGAGGGGCCTATGGGACCAGCCCCTGTCAAACCCTGGGTGCCGGGTCTCTAACAAGTGTCCCCGGTTGACATTTCCCATGTGTGGTCACACCTCCACGTGAGGACTCTGGAAGCGGGCCTGGTCTCCCCGACTTCACCCCGTGCGTCCCATCCCTCTACCAACTTCTCCGTGTCCCTTCGCTGTGATGAATCCGGAGGTGAGGACGATGACACGCTGAGGCCGGTGGGTCCTCCCAGTGGATCACGGAGCCTGGGAGCAGCCTTGGGGACAGCCGTGGTTTACAGGGAAAGGGAGGGACAGAGGAGCCGGAGAAAGGGATTGAGAAGGAAGAGATGGAGCGAGAAGGAGACAGACCCAAGAGGAGGCTGGAGGGGGGTCCGGGGAGAGGATGAGGCCTGAGCGGGGCGGGGCTGTGGGCACAGAGAGTCGGGGGCAGTCAGGGAGGGCAGGGGAGGCTGAGGATGGTGCCCGGGGGTCTGGTCCAACCAATCTGGGGGATGCGGAGCCAACCAGAGACGGGGAGCAGAGGAGCAGAAGGAGCAGGTCAGCGTGGAGACGTGAGCGCAGGGTGAGTGTGGGGAACGCGAGGGGCCTCGCGGGGGGTCAGGACGCAGGCGGGTGGACAAGTGTAGGACTCGAGACACCTTTGGGGAACAGCATGTATGCACTTTGGGGAGAAGATTCCAACATGGAGCCTGTTGAATGGGGACATCGGGGGGCTCTTGGAGCCTGAGAAGAGGGCGGGGGCACAGGTGGAAGATGGTGGGGACGAGCAGGGGACTCGGGGCTCAGGGACGCTGAGACAGAGACACAGACAGAGGCCACTCGGGAGGGACCGGCGAGAGGAGCAGAGAGGGCACCACGGGGACCCCCAGGGAAGGCCCACCGTCCAGCAGCGGGTGGGCACAACAGAGATGAGGGCAGGGGGCGGGGCGTCACCCCGTGAGAGAAGGTTCTGGTAGGTCTCCAGCATCACGTCCCGGTACAGCTCCCTCTGGCCAGGCCCCAGCCAGCCCCACTCCTCCAGGGTGAAGTCCACGGCCACGTCCTTGAAAGTCACTGATTCCTGCAAGGGCCAATTTGACACGGTGGAGGGGCACCTTCTGTCAGAAGTCTGGGGGTGGAGAGGTCATGGGTCAAGAGCCTCACACTTTAAGCTAGAACATTCTGACTCGGCAGATTTGGAACGACTGAATCAAACCGGATGTCGAGGGCAGCACCTTGGTAGAAAGGAGAACAAGGCTCCGTTTTCACACGACTCTTTACCGCCATCTGTTGGAAAACTGTTATAATAAACCAATTCTTTTAGTGTATGACCATTTGCTGCCATCTGCGTGAAAACTGCCATAATAAATATACCAACATATGAGGTAGAAAGTATAAATCAGCCACGGAGATGAGGCACCCTTGTGCAGTGCGTAACCTACACAGCTGTATGTGACAGCCCTAAGAAACACTTTTTTTTTTTTTTTTTTGGTGAGGAAGATTGGCCCTGAGCAAACATCTGTTACCAATCTTCCTCTTTTTGCTTGAGGAAGATTGTCACCGAACTAACATCTGTGTCAATCTTCCTCTATTTTGTATGTGGGATGTCGCCACAGCCTGGCTTGATGAGCAGCATGTAGGTCCATGCCCGGGATCCAAACCTGTGAACCCCACGCCGCTGAAGCAGAGTGTGTGAACTTAACCACTACGCCACTGGGCCAGCCCCAAGAAACACTTTTTAAAAAGCTATCAAGCCATCGTGTGCCAGAGCTATTATGAAATTGCACCCCATCCCAGACCCCAACCCTGATCCCAACGCCCATTCCTGACTCCAAAGATAAAGTTCGGGGTGAAGCAAAGCCGTCCACTTCCCACTTCGCCGAGTAACCAAAAGGCTGCTGGACGATAGATGACTGACTTTTAGACCACATCATCATGTCCCAGCTTGGAGCATCCTGCCCCCTTCCCACCTGTCCCCTCTCATCCCTGCACCTCCCAGCCCCAGAGGTCCTCCCACCACAGCCTCTCTCCCAGTATCGGGAGGGGCAGAAGGTCTTCAGGCCACAGGCAGAGACGGGGATGGTCATCCCGGGGCAGAGGGAGCCCAGACTCACCTGGTCCTCAGCCGTCAGGGTCCTGGTGGCCATTGCTGGGTCCAGGCATGCACCTCCAGGAGAATGGCCCAGGCCTGAGTCCGCAGAGCTGGAGGAGGAGCCCGGAGCAGAGAGCGGTCAGTTCTGGCCCAGACAGGCACACACTTTGCCACAGACGCCTGGTGACAGTGGGGGCCCTGGTCTCCTCGTGACGGGGGTGCTGCCTGAGGCCCCCGTCCTGTAACAGCCACCACTAGCAATCAAAAGGTTCAGGGCCGGCCCGGTGGCACAGCGGTTAAGTGCGCACGTTCGCTTTGGCGGCCCGGGGTTCGCTGGTTCGGGTCCCGGGTGCGAACATGGCACCACTTGGCAAGCCATGCTGTGGTAGGCGTCCCACATAGAAAGTAGAGGAAGATGGCATGGATGTGAGCTCAGGGCCAGTCTTCCTCAGCAAAAACAGGAGGATTGGCAGCAGTTAGCTCAGGGCTAATCTTCCTCAAAAAAAAAAAGGTTCAGCTCACTGCACCCCCCCCCCCCAACAGCTCTCGGAAAGGCAACTACAGTTGTCCCCAGATGGGGAAACTGAGGCACGAGAGGTCGAAGCCCTTGCTCAAGGTCATAGAGATAGCAAGTGTCAGAGGGGAATTGAACCCAGAAGTCTGGCCTCGGAGCCAACCCCTCTTATTTTTCTTATAATTTTTTTTATTGTGGTAAAATACACACAACATCAAATATACCATTTTAACCGCTTACAAGTGTACGATTCAGTGGCATTTGGGACATTCTCAGTGTGGCGCAGCCATCCCTACTATCTAGTTCCAGAACATTTTCATCATCACCCTAAAAGGAACCCTGTCCCGTTAACCAGTCACCCCCAAATCTGCCTGTCCCCCCGCCCCACGCCAGCCCCTCATAACCACTCATCTTCCTGTCTCAATGGAGGTGCCCATTCTGGACAGTCCATATAAATGGACTCGTACAGCAGATGGCCTGTGTGTCTGGCTTCTTTCACTTTGCATAACATGTGCAAGGTCTACCCATGTTACAGCGCGTATCCCTGCTTCATTCCTTTTCACGGCTGAATAATATGCCACTGTGCGGAGGGACCACATTTTGCAGAGTTCTTTCGATCTGTCTTATAAACCCTATTTAAGGATCCTGGACTCTTGCTTAAGATGTTGGAATAAAGTTTAAGCATCCCTTGCGGAGAGAAGGGAACCCTTGTTGACTGCCGGTGGGAGTGCAAACTGGGGCAGCCACTGTGGAAATCAGTATGGCGATTCCTCAAAAAATTAGGACTGGATCTACCATATGATCCAGCTATTCCACTGCTGGGTATTTATTCCAAAGAATGTGAAAACACGAATGCGTAAAGATCCGTGCACCCCTATGTTCATCGCAGCGTTATTCACAATAGCCAAGACTTGGAAGCCACCTAGGTGCCCATGAAGGGACGAATGGATAAAGAAGATGTGGTATTTATACACAACGGAATACTACTCAGCCATAAGAAATGATGAAATCCGGCCATTTGTGACAACATGGATGGACCTTGAGGGTATTATGCTGAGTGAAATAAGTCAGAGGGAGAAAGCCAAATACCATATGATCTCACTCATAAGTAGAAGATAAAAACAACGACAAACAAACACAGAGAGATAGAGATTGGATTGGTGGTTACCAGAGGGGAAGGGGGGAGGGTGGAAGGGGTGACTGGGCACATGTGTGTGGTGATGGGTTATAATTAGACTTTGGGTGGTGAACGTGATGTAATCCACACAGAAAAAGAAATATAATGATGTCCACCTGAAAATTACATAGTGCAATAAACCAATGTTACCCCAATAAAAAAAATTTAAACAAAAAGGTTGAGCGTCCCTGTCAAAGAGAAGTTGGTGTTCAGAGTGTGGTCACCCCCATTCATTCATCGAACACCTCTGAGCCCCCTGTGAGTGACAGGCTCCATGCTGGGTTCTTGTAGCCGCCCCTGACACAGGAAGGGTTAATAATCACTGGAAAAGGCTTGCCAACAAACTGTGACCTGGACGTGAGAAGGCCGGTTAGCCAAAGACGGGTAAGATCTCCAGGGGGAGGCAACCTAAGCCAGACACGGCCACCCAGGGGCACAGACGGAGACACGATATCGGGAGCAGGAGGGGCCGTTGCCTAGGAGGCCTTGCATGCTCTGAGATAAAATATACGAGCACAGCGATAACATGATAATATCAAAACAGAGGCCAAGGGAGGGCTCCTTGAGAAATCACTAAGAATTCTTGGCATCTGCTAATTACATTGTCCAGAACACCTGTGTATGTTTAACAGATAAGCTATGTATATACTGAAACGCTGGTTCTAATAAACTCAGAGTGGCCATCAGCCCTCTGCGCATCTATCCTGGTATGTACATTGAATCACAACACCAACAGGTGGGCCCTAAATGTAACCACAAGAGTCCTTATAAGAGGCAGGCAGAGGGATATCTGACGTGGAGGGGAAGGCCATGTGACGGAAAAAGAGAAGCAGAGTCAGAGAGAGGACACTGCCAAGGGAGGCAGGTGGTTCTAGAAGCTGGAAAAGGCCAGGAAAGGAATTCTCCCCTGGAGCCTCGGGAGGGAGCACGGCTCTGCTTGACTTCAGCCCAGTGAGACCCATCTCAGACTCCCACCCTCCAGAACTGCGAGGGAGCACAGTGTTCTCTTACAAAAACCGTGCTGTTTGAAGCCACTGAGTTTGCAGTAATTTGTTACAGCAGCAACGGGAAACCAGTCCAGAAATAAAGACTCAGGGCTTCACACGTGTTTCCAGGCAAACAGCCACACGTACACCCAGGTACACAGGGAGGCACGCCCCTGAAGACCGAAACCAGCGGGGGGCATTTTGATGGGGCAATGAGGAACAGAGTCTTAACCAGCTCCCCAAAGTCACTTACAAGTTACCAAAAGAAGAGGGAGAAACCTGACAGGCACCACCTTGGCCAAGTGATCCAGGTTGACGTGACCAGTGATGGCCAAACAGACCTCACAGGCTCCTGATCTGATGAGAAGGTCAGAGCATCACTCCTAAAGCATTTCTTCTTTACTTTTTTTGGTGAGGAAGATTGGCCCTGAGCTAACATCTGTGCCAATCTTCCTCTGTTTTGTATATGGGACGCCACCACAGCATGGCTTGATGAGCGGTGTGTAGGTCTGTGCCCAGGATCTCAACCCAAGAACTCCCAACCCCCAAAGAGGAACGTGCAAACTTAACCCACTACACCACCGGGTTGGCCCCCTAAAGCATTGCTACCAAAAAACCCCCTAAATCTAATCATGAGGAAACATCGAGCAAATCCAAAGTGTGGGACATTCCAGAAGGACACCGTCTGCAAAATTCAGAATTGCCAAGATCACGAAAGTCAAAGAAAGACCAAAGAACTCTTCCAGGCTACCGGAGATGAAAGAGACCTGACAAATCAAGCAGTGCGTGACATGGGATTTTCTTTTGCCATTGAGGACATTTTTGGGACTATTAGCAAAACTTGCAGAAGGTCTGTAGATGAGCTCATAGCATTGTATCGATGTCAATTTCCTGATGTGATCATGGCGCTATGGTTTTGAAAGAAAATGATCTTGTTTTTAGAAAAAGCAGAGACTCCCGTGGGGCAGGGGTCGTGCAGAGACCCAGAGAGGGGAGGACAGAGACACGGGGAGGTGGAGAGAGACATACAGAGATAGGAGAGCAGAGACCCAGAGAGAGAGAGAGGGAGACAGAACGGAGGTTGGGGTGGTGGGGGCAGATCAGAGAAATGAGAGACCCAGAGGGAGGAGAACAGATGCTCAGCATAAGGAGGACCGAGACCGAGGCCGTGGCTGTGCAGGGTACGCTGGGGCCCTCGGTCGGACATCCCCGGGTGGGATCCCAGGAGACCACTTATCAGCACTGTGACCCGGGAGAGTCTGTTTCTTCACCTGCGAATGAGGAAAGGTACCTCCTCGGGGAGATCGCAGCGGTCCCGCGATCGGCCGCACTCCCGGCAAACAGCAGGCGCCCAATTCCTGCGCGCGGAGATCGTCCGACCCGCGAGGACCGCAGGAGGACACCGGGGCCGCGTCGCGAAGGACAGCAGGGGGCGAGGCACTGCCCACAGCGCCCTTCCCCCTCCCACCTGGGCAGGAGGCGGACCCGCCCCCTGAGCGCCCGCCTCCCTGGGCCGGCTCGCACCCACCCGCTTCCGCCCGGGTCCGCCAGATCGGGACTCACCTGTGCGTCCCCCGCGGGATGCGCCAGCCTGCCGAGCCTTCCTTCCCTGGTGGGCCGGTGACTGCGCCTGCACGGTCGCCCTCTGTGAACTAGAAGTCTGGGTACGTACTTTAAACTCGGCTTCGCAACTGGACTACATTTCCCAGAAACCATTGCGGTCCGCGCTCCTCCCGGCAGAACCCTGAAGCAGGGGAATGCTGGGAAATGGAGTCTGGGAGTAGGCTGTGGGGCGCGGCAAAGAATGCTCTAAATGCAGAGCGGCTTTGCAGCTGGAGGAAATATGGTGTTTGGGAAATGTCTGGCTGTATTGACACCGCGAATATTCCCACTCTAGCCAGAGTGTTTTTCATTGCTTTCCACGGGAGGCGACGTCATAGTCCATTTAACCCAACTAACCCAAATTTCTCTCAGGTCTTCAGGACACATGCAAGGCGCCCCCATCTAAACTGATGGTGAATGCATCTAGGCTCCTCACTTAATCCTCAATTTCCCCGGGCATCCGCCTTCCTGTTTGCCTCAGTTTCACCTATCACCTCTTAAAGGGTAGTGTGGTAGAGGAACTAGACCCCTATAGTGAGAGCTGAGAGGTGTATGTCCAGAAATGCAAGGATGGTTTAATATTAGGCTATTATATAATTTGCTTACTGATATATCAAAATAATACAATCACGTACATAGATGTGAAAAGGGTTTTCAGAACATTCAGTAATGCGCTATTTCTATAAAAACTTAATAAATTAAGAAAAGGCTTTTTTTGTTGTTTTTTTGTTTTGTTTTGTTTTGTTTTGCTGAGGAAGATTTTGCCTGGAGCTAACATCTGTTGCCAATCTTCCTCTTTTTTGTGCTTGAGGAAGATTAGCCCTGAGCTAACACCTGTGCCAATCTTCGTCTATTTTGTATGTGGGTTGCTGCCACAGCATGGCTGATGAGTGGTGTAGGTCTGTACCTTGGACTGGAATATGCGAACTCGGGCTACTGAAGCGAAGCACGCCAAACTTAGCCACTGTGCCATGGGGCTGGCCCCAAGAATAGGCTCGCATAGAACAGTAATGATAACAATCTTAAGGAGTTACTGGCCTCTCCTTGTTTTTAATTAAATTCATATAATCAAAGCTTCAGATCAGGTTTGATGGTAAGACACCAAAAGATTGCCCATTAAAGTCAGAAACAAAACATAATGTCCACCATTACTACTTTTGGAGGAACTATCGATGTAGTTAGACAGGAGAAGGAAAAGACGTCATTGGAACAGAGAAGTCTGAGTTTTCATCCTTCTTTGAATGTGGTATGACTGAGATCCTGGAAATCAGAGAAGCAACTGAAATACTAAGAAAGGCAGTAAGATAACTTTGTAAAATTACTGGGTAAAAAATTAATCAATAAAAACGATAGGTTTTCTCTTTTCAAAAAGAATTATGAGGAATCTAATGAAAAAGAGGTTATTTGGATTTTAGTGCCATATTTTCCTGATAGATTTTAATCTCTCTGTGATCTTGGCAGTTCTTTTCCACTCTCCGGATCTAGGCTTTCTTCTCTATACGGGCATACCTCGTTTTATTGTGTTTTGCTGTATTGCACTTTGCAGATATTGCATTTTTTACAAGACCCTCCACTAGCAAAAATATTATGATTCACTGAAGGCTCAGATGATGGTTAGCATTTTTTAATGATAAAGTATTTTTAAACTAAGGTATGTATATTGTTTTTTAAATCACAATGCTATTGCACAATTAAGGGTACTCCAGTATGGTGTATACATAACTTTTATGAGCACTAGGAAACCCAAAAACTCATGTGACTTGCTTTTTTTGCAATATTTGATTTATTGCAGAGGTATGGAACTGAACCCACAATATCTCCTAGGTGTGCCTGTAATCTCTCATTGGAATAACGTGCGGCAAAGACTGGATAGCTCTTCTCCCAATCCTTTCCTCTGCTTCCTGTGCACACAGCTGGACTACATTTCCCAGCCTCCCATGCAATTTGGGGTGGCCATGTGACTAAATTCTGGCCAATAAAATGTGAGAAGTGACATGCGTGTTTTGTCACGGTTCACAGTCTTTTCCCTTCTGTCGATGCAGAAGGACTGTGCCCCTGGAAGTCACCCGTTGTAGACGGAAGGAGCCTAGGTCCCTGAATGTCAATCAGAGGAGGGCCATTTCCAATCAGAAAAAAGAGAACAAAAAGTTATTTTCAATTATACAGACTCAGGGGATCGGTTAAATAAATGGCGGTACAGCCTGCCCAGGAAATGTTATCGAGCCCTGAAATAATTATGCCAACGACACGATAACATGGGGAAATGCTTGCAAACAAACGTTAAAAGGACAAAAGTAGCAAAGTTACATATCCTTCATGTTTATAAAAGTGTAAAATATATGTACACACGTGAGTGAAGCTAGATGGGTCATTGCCAAAAAGAAACAACAGCAGCTGTCACTTGTTGACAACATGCAGTGGGCTTTACTAGCTTATTTAACTGGCACAACCCCCCTATGAAGGTGTGTCAGGCAGCCCCTGGGAGACCTTTGCAGCCCCGAGGCTCAAAGACCCGGCTAACACTGGTGGGTCCAGGGAAACCCCCCTTCTCACTTCCAGGCTCCCCAGCCCTGCTGCCCTCTCCATGCCTATGAACTTGGCCCTGGCTCAGGCCTTGTGCTGTGACCCTGGAACCTCACTCCAGTCTCATCCCAAACGTCCTGGCCTCCAGTGTCTCCCCTCCAGTCTGTCCCCCACACAGCCCCAGAGCAGAAAGCTCTTCCCCTTTCTCAGGATCCCCCTGGAAAGTGTCCAGGCCCTAGCCTGGCATTTGAAGCCCCATGAGCCCTGGGCCTGCCTTGCCTGACTTCGTCCCACTCTAGCTTAGCTCCGGTGCCATAATGAAATACCATAGACTGAATGGCTTCAGCAAAAGAAAGTTATTTCTCACGTTCTGGAGCCTGGAAGTCCCAGATCACAGAGCTAGCATGGTTGGTTTCTAGTGAGAGCTCTCTCCCTTGCTTGTAGATGGCCACCTTCTTGCCATATCCTCACATGGTATTTTCCTCGATGCATGAGAATGTAGAGAGAGCGAGCTCTGGTGTCTCTTCCTCTTCTTATAAGGACACTACTCCTATGGGATCAGGGCCCTGCCCTTATTATCTCATTTAACTTTTCCTTCCATAAAGGCCCTATCTCCAAATAAAGTCACCTTGAGGGTTAGAGCTTCAACACATGAATTGTGAGCGAACACAAACCTTAAGCCCACAGCACATTCCCACATCCCACCCTGCATGCCAGCCACGAAGAACTACTTATATACCCTTCTCCCCTCTAGGCTTCTGCTTGGGACAGCCCACCTCACTCTCTGCCTTCATCAGTCACATTCACGTCTCTTATTCCATTGGTTCTTATCTTCTAAGTTACAGCCAAGGTGACACCTCCACTGAAAGACCTTGCTGATTGCCCAGGCTGGGTTGGAGTCCTCCTTTGACCTCATACAATGTCCTGGGCTATCCCCATCAAGCGCATATATGACACTGGGTCCTAACTGCCTGTAACCATGTCTTTATCATGTACCCCAATCTTACCAATAGTGATTGGTCCAAGGGGTGGGCCCAAGACCCAAGCAGGACCAACCAGGACCCTTCCCCAGGGTTGCTGTATGCATTCAGCTGCACCCATGCTACTTGCTTCAGCCAATGAGCTACAGATGGAGGTGACATGAGTCATGGAGCTCATTTAACTTGCATAGCCACCCTATGAAGAAGGCATTGCTCCCCTATTTTAGACAAGGACGCCAAGACGGAGGATTTATGTAACCCACTCAAGGCCCAGAGCTAGTCAAGGACAGAGGCAGAAGTTGAATGCAGGCCCAGCCCATCTGTGCAACCACTACTTTTGACAGCTGCCAAGTTCGCCCTCTTTCCCTTGCATCATGATGCCTGAGAACGTCCCACACAGAAGCTCCTCTGTCAGCTGGGACTCTGGAGTCAAGATGGCATGGAACACAGTCCCAGCTGCCCTGTGATAGGCATGTCACACGAACGAGAAGTAAACCATTGCTGTAGGTCACTGAGCCATTGGGGGGCTGTTTGTTACTGTGGCATAACTAGCCCATCCTGACTGACACAAGCATCTCCTAAAGCCTTAACGAGGCTTAACTTTGATCTTGTACACAAGTCGTTCAGCACAGCGCTTTGCTCACTTAGCCTAGGGTCCTGGAACAAGCGCAAAAGAGCATAACAGTTAATCCCACTTATCTGTTGTCTTAAAGTGAAAGTCACTAACCGCTCTGTGCTCCGTTTCCTCATTGCACATGGGGAGATAATAAATACCCTCTTCGTTGGGTTATGAGATTCGAATAGGTTGATAAGTAAAGCCATGAGAACAGAATATAAAAGAAAACACCACCTACGTGCTTGCTATCAGCATTATTAAAAACAAGTTAGTAGTTCCCACCTCTTGACCTTTGAATTTGCTGTTCCCTCTGTCCAAAATGTCCTTTCTCCTCTACTTCTTTGGGAAAACTCCTATTTTTTTTGCAAGAACAAGCTCTTACAGCCATTCCTGTGGGAAACTTTCCCTTATTCCCACACAGCCCAGCTGGAGATGGCAACTCTCCCCCGCCCCCAGCCCCGGGTTCCCACAGGAACGTCCCAGCATCCTAGCGCCGACATTATAGCAATTGTTATATTGTAATTATTTGGTGACCGTCTGTCTCTCCCGCCCCAGACTCTGCGTTTTCCGCGAGATCTTATCACACTATCAATTATGCACAATTTAATTATCTGTCTATTGTGCATTGCTCCCAGGAAATTCCCAGGAAGTTAAGGGAGTAGCTCGAGCTGGAGCGTGAAGACATTTAAAAACCCCAATTAACACTACTACCCAAGCAAAAAGCATTTTGAGGCCCCTAGCTTGCGACCTCCAAGCTAGAGCCTTTCGCAGAGTAAGCTTCGGGCCGGCCACCAGCTTAAAGAGCGAGCAGGAGCTGGAGTATCCTTGACGCGTCTGCAGAAGCCCCGCCCCCGGCCGGCGAGCAGGTGTCGGTGACGTCATGCGCCCTAGGAGCGCCGTAGCCAAGGCAACCAGCGTCTGCCGCTTCCAAGGAAATGCGCCTGCGCAGGGGGGAGGCCAACACTATCATTTACAGAATCCTCTCGGTTGGCGCTGGGTCTGTTTCAGAGGTTGGAGCCTCGGCTTCACATCTTCAAAACCGCCCCATTCAAAGCGTGCTCTACTACGCATGTGCGAAAACTGGTATCTTGGCAACGGGTGGCTGGAACGAGGAAGTCAAGGTTTCGGCCAATCAGAAGTCGAGTTTTACGCGCACACCCTCCTACCTTTAACTAGACTGGAAGGACAGTATCTGTGGCAACGGACGCTTTTGCGGGAGGCAGAGGATTCTGGGAAATGTAGTTAATTAGAGACTCCTGCGGGATCCATCAACACCCAAACTTTGCTTTGCTAAACTCCCGCCAATATAAAATACATAGGCAATACCCAGCCCCAGATGTTTCCCCTTCACCTCACAATAGTGGCAAAACGTGTCTTGAGTTGGTCTTTAGTATTTGGAAACATCAGTTGTCCACACTACTTATCGAGAGATTTCACCTTAAAAAATTTGAATTTCTGGATTCGCTTGAAAAATCTGAACATCTGAAAACACTGGATCTGTTATTTCACCATGACGGCAATAGGATGGAGCTGAGTATTTTCTATCCTCTATGAATGAGACTTGCATTTGTCTACTTTATCTACTGGGACCCAGAAGATATTTGAGGTTTCAACCCCAGACCCTGGGGAAAACCACCAAGTTCCTTTCCCTGGCATTTAAAGCCCTTCAGTGTGTGGATCAATACTGACTTGGTAGGATTTCCCCCTCCAACACCACCACTCTCATTTATTCAACAAATATTTACGGAGTATCTGCTCTGGGTCAAGTATAGTGCCAGGCGCTGAATCTTTAGCTAAATTCAGCCTGTCTTATCAACCCCCATCTTTCCTCCCAAAGATCCTCATTTATCCGAATTTTGAATGAGACAGCAACAGTTCTGCCAGCAGGTCCAGAAACAGAAGGATACCATGTTATCCAAACCTGTTTGCCTCCTGCTTCAGGCTAGCGAGCAGCAAGAGTTCAGACAGCAAAAGATTTACATGAAAATATATCTGAACTGTCAACTTAAAAAGCAAATTTGTCTGTTATTTTTACCTCAAAATGAATTTATTTGGGAATAGCCAAAAGAATTGCAATTCAAGACACGCATGCTGTGGCAAACCATAGGCAAATCCAGAGGGGAAAAAAAGGAGGGGAGCTGCCTTTATAGAGAAAAAGGGGGAGTAGGGACAGGACATTCTAAATGGAAGTCCATTGGGGAAAAGTAGCAGTTCAGGGCAGCAACTGGCTTTTCATTGGTTGGGCTGTGGGGTTTCTCATTGGCTGAGCTGTGGGGTTTCTCATTGGCTGAGCTGCTGGCTTTCTCATTGGCTGAGCTGTTGCCAGCGTGGAAGGAAATCTTCCTTACTTCTTGCCAAAGATGCAAGCTCTGTCTCTTCCGGTTTGGACTAATTGACTGATGTGTCATAGGGTGTGAGAGCTCCCCCTACAGGCCTTCCCGACTCCAATTTAGCTAAAGTTTCCACCGAATCGATTCAGGAACATAGAGGTGAAAATGTAAGAGTTCAGATAAGGGGGGAAACCTGTTTTCTTCACATGGACCACTGCTGTTCCTCTGCCTGACCGTCCTGGAGGGTCTCACCATGGCATCATCTCCTTTGAGATGCATTCCCCCCTGAGGTAGGAATGGTCCTTCCAGCCCTCACTGTAGGTTGTCCATCCCTCTAGAGGGTCCAAATCACTTCTACTTTGAATTAAGGTAACTGGTGTCTACAGAGGGGTGAGACCTGGTCCCAATACTTGAGGAGCGCCCAGTCCAGTGTCCAGAGCTGGACACCAATTGGGGGGGGTCCTCCAGAAACTGATGGAGACATTTAGGAATTTGTCATAGACTTTATTAGATTTCTTTCCCTTTCCCCTTACAAATCCCCAAACCACTGCCCTAGCGCAGCAGGAGTTTTCGGTTTTGCCTGTACGTCATCGCCCTGGTCAGAGAGAAAAAGCCTGGAGGTTAGAAAGAGAACTTCAGGCTCTTCCAGATCAACCGACACCCCCCCCCCCAAAACTTCCCTCCAATCATTGGCCTTATTTGGCTCAGCCAGTGACATCACGGGTCTCTGGGCAGATGTCTAGGGTCCTCAGCCAATCAGTGTTGGCACATGAGGCGAGAGGAGAGAAAAATTGGGACTGGGAGTGAGGGTGAAATTTGGAAACAGAAAGAGCGGGAAGGGGCCAGCCCCATGGCCAAGTAGTTAAAGTTCTGCGCGCTCCACTTTGGTGGCCCAGGTTCAGGTTTGGATCCCGGGTGTGGACCTACTCCACTCATCATCTATGCTGTGGAGGCATCCCACATACAAAGTAGAGGGAGATTGGCATGGATGCTAGCTCAGGGCTAGTCTTCCTCAAGTAAAAAAAAAAAAAAAAGAGGAGCATTTGCAACGGATGTTAGCTCAAAGTGCATCTTCTTCACACACACACACAAAGAGTGGAAAAAGACAGGAAGGGACTCTGAGAGACACAGACACAGGGAGAGAGACTCAAAGAGAAGGGAAAGACAGAAAGAGAGAAATGAGGAAAAGAGAGAAGCCAGTGTACTGGGTTGAACTGTGTCCTGCCAAAAGATCTATTCAAGTTCTAATCTCCAGTACCCGTGATGACCTTATTTGGAAATAGGGTCTTTGCAGATGTAATTAAGGTAAGATGAGATCACTCTGGATTTAGGCTGAGGTTGGACCCTACATTCAAAGACTGGTGTCCTTATAAGTGAAAGGGGAGGGAGATCTGAGACACAGACATGGAGGAAAAAGCCATGTGAAGACGGAAGCAGAGATTGGACAGAAGCCACCAGCCAAGGATGCCAGCAGCCAAAAGAAGGTAGGAGACAGGTATGGAATGGATTTTCTCTCAGAACCCCCAGAAGGAACCAACCCTGACAACCCCTTGGCTTTGGACTTCTGGCCCCCAGAACTCTGAGAGAATGAAATTCCTTAAGCCACCCAGTTTGTGGTCATTGGTTAGAGAAGCCACAGGAAATGGAGATACAGGGAGAGGGTCCTGCAATATAGAGATGGAGAGATGACACCGAACTCAGGCAAGAGGCTGAGGGAGAGAGAAGCAGAACTGAAGACAAAAAGGGAAATCCAGAGACGGGAGAGGGGAAGACAGAGCGAGAGCGAAATGAAGACTGGGTGAAGACAGGGAGAGATGTTCAAACACGGGAGGAGGAGGGTGAGCTGTGGGGAAGGTGCTGGAGGAAGAGAGAGGAGGCAGGAGGGGAAGGGAGGCGGCGGCAGCGGAGATTCAAAGATGCAGAGAGGGGCTGACAGACAGGGAGAGAGTCTGCGGGGTGCTGGGTGGGAGTCAGAAACAGAGACCCAGAGACGGGGAGAGACAGAGGCAGAGAGAGACTGAGGGACACAGATTCACCTGGGGGTAAGGGAGGGGCAGGAGGAGATGGCAGAATTGGGACGGGACAGAGGAGGGGAGGAGAAAGCCCAGCGGGAGAGGCAGAGAGATGGGGAGAGTTTCAGAGAGGAAGAGAGCGGAGGGGACCCGACAGAACGCTCAGAGGAGGTGAGGCCGAATTCGCCCCTCAGGGCCCATGAGATGTTTTCCTTTTAAATACTTTGAAAAGCAGAAGAAAATAAATTAATGTAACAGTGCTGCTGCTGCTGAAGAATATATAATAATGTATCCAGCTTGGATTCCGTCTCTCTTCATACCAGCCATTCACAAAATATAATTTGTAGTATTTTTTTTAAAAGATTGGCACCCGAGCTAACAACTGTTGCCAATCTTTTTTTCTTCTGCTGCTGCTTTTTCTCCCCAAATCCCCCCAGTACATAGTTGTACATTTTAGTTGTGGGTCCTTCGAGTTGTGGCATGTGGGACGCTGCCTCAGCATGGCCTGATGAGCAGTGCCATGTCCACGCCCAGGATCCGAGCTGGTGAAACGCTGGGCCGCCGGAGAGGAGCGCGCGAACTTAACCACTCAGCCACGGGGCCGGTTCCCCCCCACCCTTTTTTTTTTTTTTGTAGTATTTTTTTATGGAGGAGGAGACTCACAAAGCCAAAAGTGCTGAGGACCCGAGAAAGACATAATGTGGTCCAGGGATGGGGGGAAGAGGGGATGAGATAGATAGAGAGATGGACAGAGAGATAGAGATGAGAGAGAGAAAAGAGATGGAGAGGGGGAAGGAGAGACAGAGAAAAAAGAGGGAGAGAGAAAAAGAGACAGAGGGAGGCAGAGACATCAAGTGACGGGGGAGGAGTGACCGATCGAGGGCAGTGCCAGTTTTGAGGGGCCCAGTGGGGCAGTGGTGGGGGGGGGGTCTCAAGAGCGGGCAGGGACGACTCACGAAGCCACGATGATCCCGAAGAGGAAGACAGCCAGACACACGGACGTGATGGTGCCAAACAGGGCCTGATTCCGCCAGTATCCGCTCGCCTTCTGGTACTGAAGGGTCATGCGGGGCTGCCCGTCGACTTGGGGGGGGGGTGGAGGGGACAGCCCCCACCTCCAGGTCACCACCCTTCCTTGGCCTTGCACCCACCCACCTGCTCACTCTCGCTCCCTCCTCCCTACGTGGCCCCTCCCTCTCCTGGGGTCTGACTCTCGGTGCATCCTTTCCTCAAATTATATGTCCCGGGCTCTGTTCTAGGCGCTCGGGACACTGCTGTGCAAACATCCCCGCCCTCACGGCACCTGAGATCTACACAGCACGCCAACAGTGACAGTCAAGAGCCCAGCGCTACGTGCATCTCATCGGACGGGGGGGTTGGGGGGGAGGACTTGGGTGGTTCAACTGCCCATGAATATGAGAGGAGGATGCAAAACGCTGACGATCTCAGGCAAGATGGAAAGCTAGCCTGCATCCTAGCTGGTGGCCTTGAACGTGGCCTTGCATTCTGCATCTTCCACTCGCCCCTTCCCCCAGCTCTTCCCTTCTGTCAGCAAAGCCTCTTGTCTCGACCTTCAAAATCTATCCAGAATCCGGTCCGCCTGGTCCAGCCTCCACTGTCGCTCCTCTCACGGGGCTGCCTCCTCCTCACCACCCTACAGTTCCCAATATGGCCGCCAGAGGGCGCATGCTAACACCTACGTCCGCCTACGACCCTCTTCTCGTGGCTCTCCATTCATTGAGAATAAAGGCCCAGGTCTTCACCACGGTCTACCAGGACCTGCACGATCTGCTCACCACGTGACTTGCTCCCCTACCACCCTCCGCTTCATCCACTCGTCTCTGGCCACACTAGCGTCCTTCTTGTTGCTCAACCCTATTGGATCTTTGCACCTGCTGTTCCCTCTGTCCTTCACACTGTTCCCTCGCTTCCTTTAGATCTCAAACATCACTTCCTCAGAGACGCCTGTCACCTGCGCTCTCTGAAGCACCCCCCACCCCCACCCTGGGCACCTTCTATCAGACCGTTCTGCTTCGTTTTCATTACAGCACTATTGCTATCTGGAATTAATCCATGTATTTGTTCACGTAATCATCATCTAACCGTGGTTCTCAGCTGGGGACAATTTTGTTCCCCAGGGGGCATTTGGAAAGGTCTGGAGACTGGAGATGATTGTCCTGACTTTGGGGTGTGGTACTACTGGCATCTACTGGGTGGAGGGGAGGGGGTGTTGCTAAGCATCCTACAGCGCACGGGACGGTCCCCATCGCACAGGATGACGCAGCCCCACATGTCAATGGTGCCAAGAAACCCTAGTCTAAGCCTTCACCCCATTAAAATGCGGGATCCGGGAGACAACTGTCTCCCATTCTGCTGGTCCTCAGTTAGGGACATTCCAGCGTGCCGAAAATATTTGCTGTAGTTAAACAGCATCTTAAGGGAGCAAACAGATGAATCTCTTCTTTTCAACTAATCAATGCCATGGGAGGGAAAACCGAGAGAGAAAGTCTTCTAGATTAAAAAAAGGAGAAGAAGAAGTGGGAAAGCCAAGCAGTTGAATGACATGAGAAGTCCTCTCCTCGGAGCCTGGTTTGAATGAATCGGCTGTGGAAGCTATTCTGGGGACAATTAGGGAAGCTGGAATTATTTGTTCTTGGAGAATTGTCCTTAGGTTTGTTGGGCATGGGAATGGCATCGTGGTGATGTAGGAAATTCCTTATTTTTAGAGGTCCACACTATGTATGGGTGAAATCTCACAACGCCAGATTTCTTTCAAAATACTGTGGCAATAAATGAGTGAAGCCACGGGGCAGGAATGTTCATTGTCAACACAATTTGATGGAAAGTGCTACTTTCGAGAGTATGGTCAGGGGGGTCCTCTCTGAGGAGATGAACTTTGAGACTTTCTTGACATGAGGGAGTGAGAGGAACAGTGTGAGGAGAGAGGGAACAGCATGTGAAAAATTCCAGCATTACAATTCAATCTCGATGGATATGTGGGGGTTCATTGTACTATTCTCTCTCCTGTAAGGATATACATATTTAAAAATTTCTGAATAAATGAGTGAATTCAGCACATCCTTCCAGACTCCCCGGAATGGTAGGGCACTGGTTAAAAAGAAAATGTTTTTCTAGCCCCTGCCATGTAAAGTTACACGGCATTGTAAAGTGACAGAGGAGTCTTCCTATTTAATGAGAGGGGGAAAGTGAATTTCAGAACGAGGAGGCAACTTCTGGGCCACATTGCTAGCAAGCGTTTAGGGCAGGACTCAAGTCTGCATGTGGGAGAACTCAAAACCCACATCCACTGGGACACGGCTGTCTTCATCTCTCACGCATCTGCCCCGCGTCTCCCCCCACCCCCCGGAGCTTACCAAAACAGTACTTCTTTTTGATACACTTGGGACTGATCTTCTGGCAATGTAAACAGTCTAAGACCTCTTCCTTTTGCAAGCCTGGACAAGGGGACACGGAGAAGCGGGATGAGGGAAGATATCAGAGGACCAGCAAGGGGCAGAAAGGCAGAAGGGGAAGAAGGAGATGGAGTCCCTCAGTCCTCCCGAATTTGGAGGTCCCACGAGCAGCAGAGCAAGGGGACCAAAATGCACGGACGATTCACGTTAAAAATAATTTTTATATAATCACTGAAGAGTTGAAGTGAGTTGCAGTTGCCCAGTTGACGCAACTGTCTGTTTGGAGATATTTGATTAATGAAATTAATTATATGTCTCCAAACAGAAAGTTTGCACTGCTCTATTCCTACTTTGCAGCTCCCTGCGGCATAGACAGGCTAGATGTTCACGGGACGGTCTCCTCCTCTTCCTGCCACACAGGAAGACTACACTTCCCAGGCTGCTTTGCAGTTAGGTTGCAACCATGTGACCGAGTTCCGGCCAATGGAAAGTGAGCAAAGGCGTGCGGGCCAGCTCCAGCCTTGGCCTTAAAAGACCCTATGGGGTTGTCTATTTTCTCTCTTTTCTGAAGCCACAGCATGGGTGCAGCCCGGATCCCTGAGTCACCCCTTGGAAGAACTGTTCACCTCTCAATGGAATTTGGGTAAGAGAGAAATAAATAAACCCTTCTTTTCTGAAACCACTAAGATGGGGGGAGGGGTGTTACCTGTTACGATGGCATAGCCCATCCTATCCTGACAACATCCCCCTAATACTTTTTTTGCAGGTTGCAACCACTTTCGCCAGCCCTCAGACGTCAGCTATCCATCGATACTATAGCTTTGGGGTGGGGGAACCACCAGATGGAGGAGGCGTGACAACCCGGGGGGAGACAGAGCAAAGAGGTGTAGGAGGGTAGACAAGGGAGGGACAGACAGACAATAAATCCAGGACTCACGGCAAATTTTGCGATCGCAGGCTGCAAGAGAAAAGAGCTGAGGTGAGCTAAGTTGGGAGTTATTTGAGAGTTTCCTGGGAAGAGGAAAGGAGAGGGAGGGAGGAGCAAGTCTGGAGAAGGCGAAAAGGGAGTGTGGGGGAGGCGGGGCAGCTGAACCATGCACCTTTTAATTCATACGACCTCAAGGCTTTCTTCAGTTCCTTGATTACCCTCTCCCTAAGAGCCACGAGCTCTTCCAGCAGGGGCCCATCTGGAGGAGAGAAGGAGATCCCGGTGGGGTGGGAGGCCCCCCACAAGCCCAGCCCGTCTGCAGCTTCAAAGAGAAGGAATGAGGAAGCTCTTTATCATGCGCCAGGAGTGACCAAGACGAGGTATTAGTCAGGGTCCAAGAGGCAAATCTATGACCTGGGAGGTGCTGCCTCCACTGTGCGGCCCCAGGCTAAACCACCCTCTCCTGGCCTCAGTTTCCTCGTCTGGTAAGTGGTAGAAGGAGTGACTTGATCACCTCTCCTCTCCTGTCCTCTGATCTGCCCTTCCCTCCTCTTCTTTTCTCTGTCTACCCTCCCTCCCTCATGACTTCATCCAGCCTCACGAAATATTTTTATATTGCCTAGACCTACACTGTCCAACATGGCAGCCACCAGCCATGCATGGCTACTGAGCATGCAGAACGGGCTGCTCTGAATTGAGATGTGCTGTTAATATAAAACATGCTGGAGGGGCCGGCTGGTGCTGTAGTGGTTAAGTTCGCGTGCTCCACTTTGGTGGCCCGGGGTTCACAGGTTTGGATCCCGGGCGTGGACATAGCACCACTCGTCAAGCCATGCTGTGGCAGCATCCCACATAAAATAGAAGAAGATTGGCATAGATGTTAGCTCAGCAACAATCTTCCTCAAGCAAAAACAGGAAGATTGGCAACAGATGTTAGCTCAGGGCCAATCTTCCTCACCAAAAAAAAAATGTTTTTAAATTAAAAAAAGTTACAATGCATACAGACCATCTTTAAAAAAAAAATATATATATATATATATATATATATATATATATTTGCTGGATTATGAGGACATGGTATGAAAAAAATAACTGTAAAATAGCTTAATAATTTTCACATTGATTGCATGTTGAAATGGTCATATTTTAGGTATTGGGTTAAATGAAATATATTAAAATCAATTTCACCTGCTTCTGTTCACCTTTTAAAAAACGTGGCTCCTAGGGGCTGGCCCTGTGGCCGAGTGGTTAAGTTCGCGCGCTCCGCTGCAGGCGGCCCAGTGTTTCATCGATTCGAATCCTGGGTGCGGACACAGCACCGCTTATCGAGCCATGCTGAGGCGGCATCCCACATGCCACAACTAGAAGGACCCACAACTAAAAATATACAACTATGTACCGGGGGGCTTTGGGGAGAAAAAGGAATAAAATAAAATAAAATAAATAAATAAATAAAAAACGTGGCTCCTAGAAAATTTAAAATGACATATATGACTCCTCTTGGCGCCTTCCATCATATTTCCATTGGACAGTGCTGTTCTGTACACACGGATGCCTCCCACGTTTCCATCACGGGCCTAGACTGCCCGCTGAGGTCCAGAGGCATATATCCAACTGTCCACTCGGGACCTCACGGTGGCCGAGAAGGCCCTCCCCGTCTACACACCCGCTCCCCCCTTCCCTCTAGGACCTCATCTCCCGCATCTCTCCCTCTCTCCGCTCTAGTCTCCTTGAGGTTCTGTGAATCTGCCCGTCGCAGTCCCATCTTGGGGAGTGCACTAGCTTTCTGCCTGCAGCTTCTGCCGCAGACCCCTCACGGCTGCTCCCCTCTCCTTCAGGTCTTCCCTCACGTGCTGATGTCCTTCAGTGATGTCCTTGGCTGCCCTGCTTTGAACTGCAACCCCCACTCTGCTCCCAGCGCGCCCTACCCCCTGGTCCTGGTCCCTGCTTTATTATCTTCTCCATAGTATTTGTCCCCACTGGGCATATGATATTGTGCCCTGGAGGGCTAACTCAGCAGGTCTGGGTTGTCCAAACCCTGCACATTCCCAAAGAAGGTTTGACTCTTGCCTGGCTCCTGGGAGGGGACCTCTGAGTCCTTGGAATATCCTGCCTGTTAAGAGTGTCCTTACTCAGGAGCCTTGGGTCACGTGGTAGCAGCTCCACCTCTGGAGGGGCTGGAGGATGGGCAGCTAAGGTCAGTCACACAGACGCTCCATAGGATGTGACTGACCCTCCCCGATAACATAATCATAGTCTGTAAAATGATTGGCTTGGGCTGTTTCAAAACATCAGGGTCATGAAAGACAACTGAATGCAATGTGTGACCCCAGAAGAGACCGAGGATTGAAAGAAAACAAGCAACGAAGGGCACAATTGAGACAATTGGGGATATTTGAATGAGGACCGAATATGCAATGACAGTGTGGAGCCGATGTTAAATTTCCTAGTCACACTCATTGCATAAGAGAATGTCTTTCCTTGTTAGGAGATCACCTGCAGAAGATTTCAGGGTTAAAGTGTTGTGATGTGTGCCAGCAACTGTCAAATGGTTCACACACACGCACACAGAGCAACTGTGGCAGTATGTTAACGTGGAGAAACATTAGCAAATGGTGTGTAGGTTCCTCGACTTTTCCAAGCACTTAGAACCCTGCCAGACTCACCGTCAAGGCTGTACGCGCTCTTGCTTTTATTTATCTATCAAGAGGAGGCGTGGTGGCCCCGTGGGCAGGAAGGAGGGGAAAGGGGGCTGGGAGAGGCTTTGTCTCTCGACTCCTACCTTTGAGAGAACTAGACATTAAGTGGCTTGTTTGATTCTTGAGAAAGGACGCCACAAGTTCTAGGTCGCCTATTCCTGGGGGCAGAGAGGGAGGAAAGGCTAGAGAGCCACGTGACCGCCCCATCTTCGTGCGCCCGGCCCCGCCCTCGCCGTCCTGGGGGCGTGGCCTGCCTCCACCATCTTGTGCCCGGCCCCGCCCTCGCCGTCCTGGGGGCGTGGCCTGTCTCCCCCACCAGCCTAAGGCTGCCCCGGGGTCCCCATCCCCGTGGGCTGGCACCCTGCTCCCCGCCCCCCCCGCCCCCCGCCCCAGCACGCACCCACTTTCCCCACGAACGCGTTCAGCGCGTAGTCCCGGAAGAAAGGCCCCTCCATGCCCAGCATCAGGGCCTGCGCGCGCGCGTGCAGCCGCTCGTGCTGGAAGCGCTCGGGGCCCAGGGCCGCGCGCAGCTGGCTCAGCGCCTCCTGCGCGGCGGGCTCGCACTGCAGGCAGCCCCGGCCGCGGGCCAGCAGGCCGCAGAGCAGCAGCACGGCCAGGGCGGGAGGCATGGCAGGGCCTTTGTGACGTCCCCGAGGGAACCCGCAGCCCCGCCCCCACCCCCCACCCCCGGGGAAGGGCGGGGGCCGGGAGAGACGCTGTGCGCAGGCGCGGGGGTGCTGCGCACCTGTGTGCCAGGTGTGGGTCTAGGACACGTGCCCGGCGCTGGGGACAGGCTGAATGAGGTGGGCACAGTCCTGGCTCGCGGGGTGTGGTCTAGCTGGGGTGGGAGGAGAAATGTAAAACCTGGTAAACAGATTAGTAAATAAGATCATGACAGGGGCCTCTGGGGCTAGTGGTTAAGTTCACACGCTCTGCTTCAGCGACCTGGAGTTTGAAGGTTTGGATCCTGGGCACGGACATACACACCTCTCATCAAGCCATGCTGTGGAGGCATCCCACATACAAAATAGAGGAAGATTGGCATGGATGTTAGCTCAGCAACAATCTTCCTCAAGCAAAAAGAGGAAGACTGGCAACAGATGTTTGCTCAGGGCCAGTCTTCCTCACCAAAAAAAAAAAAAAAAAAAGAGAGAGAGAAAGAAAGAAGGAAAAAGATAATGACAAACTGCATTAACTGCTGGGAGGGAGAGAAGCAGTGTGATATGAGAAGAGAGTTTCTGGCAGGCTAATACCCTGAGGGCAGGCAGGGTTTTGGCTGTTGGGCTCCCTGCTTTAGTCCAATGGCTGGCATGTGCTAGCTGCTCAATAAATATCAAATTCAATGAATCCACAGGGAGGGAAATGTCCTTTGTTTTTTTTCCCCTGGAATTTTTACTTTGCAAACCTTCAAGTCGAGAGAAAAGTTTCAAGAATGCTACAATAAACAGTCGAATATGTCCTGTTAACACTTTGCATTTGCTGTACCTCTCTGCATATACATAATATATTGTATAAAGATTAATTAAACGTTAATTTTGATTAAAAATGGGCAAAGGTCTTGAAGAGACATTTCTCCAGAGAAGACGTACAAATGGCCAATAAGCCCATGAAAATAATGCTCAACATCATTGAGCACTAGGGAAATGCGATCAAAACCACGAGGGGCAGCCCGGTGGCTGAGTGGTTAAGTTCTCGTGCTCTGCTTCGGCAACCCGGAGTTTTGTGGGTTTGGACCCTGGGCGAGGACCTAGCACCCAAGCCATGCTGAGGCGGCATCCCACGTAGCAGAGCCAGCAGGACCTACAACTAGAATATACAACTATGTCCTGGGGGGCTTTGGGGAGAAGAAGAAGAAGAAGAAGGAGAAAGAGGAGATTGGCAACAGATGTTAGCTCGGGTGCCAATGTTAAAAAAACAAGAAGGAAACACAATGAGATGCCACCTCAAACCCATTAGGATGGCTAGCATCAAAAAAGCGAAAAATAGGGGCCATCCTTGTGGCGCAGTGGTTAAGTTTGCACGTTCCGCTTCAGCGACCTGGGGTTTGCCAGTTCGGATCCCAGGTGTGGACATGGCACCGCTTGTCAAGCCATGCTGTGGCAGGCGTCCCACATATAAAGTAGAGGAAGATGGGCACGGATGTTAGCTCAGGGCCAGTCTTCCTCAGCAAAACGAGGAGGATTGGCAGCAGATGTTAGCTCAGGGCTAATCTTCCTCAAAACAAAACAAAACAAAATAACAAGTGTTGGGGAGGATGTGGAAGAATTGGAACCCTTGTGCGTTCTTGATGGGAATATAAAATGGTCCAGCTGCTGTGGAAACAGTATGGCGCTTCCTCACATAAATTAAAAATAGGGTTAACATAAGATCCGTCAATTCTGCTTCTGAGTTTATGCCGAAAAGAATTGAAAGCAGGGACTCAAAGAGACATTTGTGCGCCCCTGTTCATAGCAGCGTTATTCACAAAAACTGCAACACAGAAGCAACCCAAGTGTCCATCGGCTAATGAGCGGATAAACAAAATGTGGTACGTGTACACCGTAGGATATTATTCAGTCTTAAAAAGGAAGGAAATTCTGACACACGCTCCTACGTGGATGGACCCTGAGTCATTGTGCTGAGTGGAATCAGCCAGTCACAAAAAGACAGACCCTGTGTGAGTCCACTTATGTGAGGGACATGGAGTGTCCAGAGTGGTCAAACGCACACTCAGGGTAACCAAGCCACGTTCGTCGTGCCCGCCACATAGCATGCGAATCACCCAGACGACGAGTTTCCAGCAGAGAAAGGGTTTATTCACAAGGCAGCTGAGTGAGGAGACAGGAGAACAAGTCTCAAATCTGCCTCCTGAATATGGGGATTAGGGGTATTATGGGATAAAGGGGCAGGATGGTCTGAAGCGTGGAGATAGATGGTTGGAGGAGAGGAGAAGTGAGGTCCCTGATGATCTGTGCAGGCGTAGTCAAGCCTCATGGCTCCTCATAGGACGCATGCTCACAAGGTGGTGGCATTAGCATGATCTGAGGGCAGAGTTTTCAGCTTCCCTGACGTCAAAGTGTCACCTATGGGGCATTCGTGCAGGCCCAGTGGATGAGTCAGTGGTCTCAACCGGACCGAGTGAACTGGATGAGGAGTCGACTCTCGGTTCCTGAAAAACAACTGAAGCACTTGTTACCATGGTGACCTGGGCGTCAGAGCTGTTATCTATAGTAATGTATTTACTAACATATTATCTAAATTCTTTTGCAAACAGACAACTGAGTATAGTTAAAGCAAGTTGGCCCCCGGTTTCATCAGGACATTTAACATGGATTTGATGGGTTCAACTACATTCCCACTTTCCCAAAGGCCTCCTGACTCTTCTCTGTTTCGATATCACCTCCTCCGAGAAGTCCTCCCAGATTACCCCCTGGAAAGTATGTCTGCCTCTGTTATTCTCTACTTTCGGGATCAGCAAATACTTTCTGTAAAGGGCCAGACTGTTAATATTTCAGGCTTTGTGGCCATAGTTCTCTTGCTGTTGTAACAGAAAAGCAGCTACAGACAATATGGAAATGAATGAGCGAGGCTGTGTTCCAAGAAAACATTATTTTATGGACACTGAAATTTGAATTTCATATAATTTTCACGTGTCACAGAATATTATTTCGACGCTTTTTAACCATTTAGAAATGTAAATACTGTTCTTAGCTTGAGGGCCACACTTTGCCATCAACTCTAACTCATTATCATGTCAGTTTCCATCATGGCACTAATGACAATTTATAATTCTTTTTTGGTGTGTCTCTCTCCCATATCATCCAATAAACCCCTGGAGGCCAGAACCCTGTGTGTCTTGCTCACTATGATGTCTCCAACCCCTAGAAGGAACCTGGCATACAATAGGTGCTCAATAAATGTTTGTTGAATGAAAAAAAAGAAAATGCCAGTTTCCCTTTCTCAGCCTCACTTTCTTCCTCTGGAAAGTGGACATCATACTACACCTACCTTATCCCAAGGGTGACATGGCATAAAAAGGTTTGCACTGCCCAAGACGTAAGCCACTGGTCACGTGTGGCTATCGGATGCTTGAAAGGTGCCGTGACTGAGAAACAGAACTTTGTTTTCTTTCCTTCCCCAAAGCCCCAGGACATAGTTGTATATTCTGGCTGTAGGTCCTTCCAGTTCTTCTATGGGACGCGGCCTCAGCGTGGCCTGATGAGCGGTGCCATGTCCGTGCCCAGGATCTGAACCAGCGAAACTCTGGGCCACCGAAGTGGAGCCTGAGAACTTAACCACTAGGCCACCAGCTGGCCCCTTGACTTTTAACTGTATTTAATTGTGATTAATTTAAACTTACATTTTCAAAACCAGATCTTCCATTCAGCTAGTGGGAAACCTTCAGACACGTTTGGAACAACTGGAGTACGTGAATCTACTTGTTCGACCGTAAATGTTATAAAATCTAAATAGAGATCGAGTATTTTTAATGAAAATTGTGTATGAACTGACATGCGCTGTCCTGAGAACATTTCAAAGCCTTACTCCACAAAGGTAAAATACGTAATGAATAATTTTTATATTGTTTGTGTGTTGATAATATTTTGGAATACTGAGTTAAATAAAGTTTATTAATACAGTTACTGTCACCGGTTTCTTTTTACTTTTTTTTTTCCTTTGGTGAGGAAGATTGGCCCTGAACTAACTTCTGTGCCCAATCTGCCTCTATTTTGTATGTGGGCCGCTGCCATAGCCTCGCTTGGTGAGCGGTGTGTAGGTCCACACCCGGGATCCAACAACCAACCCCAGGCTGCCGAATCAGAACGCGGGAACCCAACCACTATGTCTTTTTACTTTTTTAACGTGGTTAAGAAAAAGTTTGAAATTGCATATGGGGCTCGCGTTAGCTTTCCGTTGGGCATCGCTGGTCCAGCCCGTAGACCGCGCCCGACACTTATCATTTGAATTGAATTAGCTGGCGGTTCCTGGAGGGGAAGAGAAGCCCTCAGCGTGTAATGGGGTGATCCTACCACAAGGGGGTGCTCGCACCCGGTTCAAATTCCTCTCTCCGGACCAGAGAGAGGCCCGCCCTGGCTTCCTGCTGCCCCAGCCCGCCTCTCCCAGAATTGAGCCTTTATCAGAGCGGTTCCCGCGGTGGAGACCATTCTCCGAGACGCGAACTGGGAGATGAATTCGCGCATCCCTTCCTCTTCCTGCATCACCACGCCCTGTGCACGGGGCTGCCGTGTGCCCTAAGTAGGAGCTGCCAGAAGGGCCCTCCGGGTGGGAGGCAGCAAGGACCAGGGAGCACCGGCTTTGTGCCTCCGCCGATGCGGCCACGCCAGAGTGCATTTTGCAAAACTCGGTTCAACGAAGCGCCTGCAGATCTCGCAGCCCGGCAACTCCACCCTCTCGGGGGCAGCGATGCTCCTCCGGCGCGGCTGATGGAGGCGGGGCCGGGTCAGAGGCGACGGGGGGAGCAGCGGGTGCCCGGGGGCGTCCGGGGCGGAAGCAACAGGCTGCACCGTGCACACGGCGACAGACATGCATTTGGCTGAAAACAGTGAGAAACGGCGAGACCTCCCACCCAATACCCTTGATACAAATTTAAGATTCTTGCATCCCAGCCAAAATTACACAGTGTGTAGGAACAGCTGCAAACAGAAGGAT